CTGAAATACCAGTACATGCAGGCAATTGTTCATATGCTGAACAGGAGTGATGGGACGCTTCGAACAATGTACTTCCGATGCTTAAGTCACTTACATAGGCGTACTTCATTTCTTTTTTATTTTATGTTTATTGTTTAAAAAAGTTACAACATCAACAAAAAGTATACAGGACGAGGGTCCTAAAGTAATAAAACTGTAGTGGGACGCTGTGCCTTTCTTATGGCTATTTTTGTGAACAAGGCTCCCGCAGCGAGTGCCATAATGTCAGTAGACTTTGCATTATTTTGGTAGGTGCATCCTCTTAGAGTCTTTACTAAGAAGCAACAGTTACGCACTGTTTTTTTTTTTTTTCACACAACTTTTAGCTGTTTCCTATAGTTGCAGTTGAAGGAGTAGCTTTCTAAGCTTTGATCTATGGTAATGCTTATTTTTGTGACGGTCGCACAGGCTACAACCGTAACCAGGCCAGATTTTTCAGAAATTCCCTGATTTTTCCATGACTTTTCCAGAAGGGTTCAAATTCCCTGACATTTCCAGGCTTTCCAGGTTTTTCAGGCTAGGTTGGTAGGCATCCTGCCTTAATATTACCCTCCTATTCTCCTGTTTGAAGACAGGTGCTGAAAGCTGAGACAGTGGACATGCTGCAGCCATTTGAAACAACATATGCTTGTGAGCAGGCATTCTTGACAGTAGCCTATCTGACAAATAAGCTGAGAAATCAGTTGAATCCAGCAGCCAACACACCGCTAGCCCCGAGTGTTACTATGCCTCACATAAATGTTTTGGTTCAAGGAAAGCGAGTTAGCTTGCATGTGAGTAAATAAACTTTTCATATGCCCTTATTTTTGAATTAGTTGCATGTGAATGTAGCGAGAACCAAATGAAAAATTCTTGCATGAAAGTGGGGGTGTGTGGGAGAGGTTCTGTGGCACTTAATGGAGCTTGGCAGTGTTCCCTGGGACCAATATACTTACGAGCCACTGCCTTACGGTAGCTTTAAGACAAGTTATGATCACTAGAGTTGGCGTATTCATGTGGAAGGTAGAGACCAAGTACTGCACCAGAATGGCCAATCCTATTCTGGTCAAAGAGGATTTTAAAAATTCCTGGAGTAGAAGCTTCCGCAATGCCTTGCCAGCAGAAGTGAAGCCAGCTTTTGCCACTGCCAAGATGATGAAAACATGCTCTTTTCTGGTAATGCCCACTTAAAGATCACGAGGCTTTGATCTGTTAATGTAAATGCTACATTAGTTCTATATTAAAAGATTGTTGTTCCCGACAAAGAAACACACAGGTACGAGTATGGGTGACTGAATCTCCAAAAAACTTTGCCTCCAATTAGGGGCTTACTAAGAAAAATTAGTAACACTAAGACGCACTTGGAGCACTATGTGACCCGAAAAAGTTTCCCCATTAAACTCGTTGGGCGTGCGAGGGAAACGCTCCGTTCTTAATAGCTGAACAGCTATACCTTATCATGCCCTAGTAAGATGGCCGCTGCAGCCGCCATCTTGCCGTAGGCACGGCTTCACTTTTCAAAAAAATCATTTCCACTCCTGAAATTTTTTTAATCCTCCTTGGTTCTGGTGAAGGAGCGCATTACCAGCAGTGGTCGCCAGTGGGGCCACACCCCAGGCCTTTTTATGCAATTCCATCATCATGCTTTTTTTTTTTTTTTAAATCAAGTCCAAAATCGTCTGGCACTAGGATTCGAACGAAGAAGTGCTTACAAAGAAGGTTCAACTTAAATATAGGACGACACAGCGAGTAATGAAAACGAAAATGATAGGTGTAACCTTAAAAGACGGGAAGAGAGCAGAGTGGGTCAGGGAACAAACGAGGGGGATATCATAGTTGAAATCAAGAAGGAGAAATGTACATGGGTCGGGCATGTAGCGCATAGGCAGGACAACCTTTGGTCAGTGAGGGTAACTGATTGGATTCCAAGAGAAGGCAAACGCATCAGGGGCAGATAGAAAATTAGGTGGCCAGATGAGATTAACAAGTCTGCAGGTATAACGTGGCAGCAGAAAGCACACTGGGTTGACTGACGGGACATGGAAGAGGCTTTTTTTTGCCTTGCAGTGGGCGTATTCAGGCTGATGAAGGTAGTGACCACTATAAGCTATTACTGTGCACACCCATGCAGACATTTAGTTCAGTGTGGGGCAGCCAAACAAACACTTCTGTTACGTTCAGCTAAAGTGGTAAAGTCAGATCCGTGGTCCTGAAACCAAAAATTTGAAATGCCAGTGAGGTAGAAGAGTACATACTACAGATTTGTAGTCATCCACCCTGCTGTGCAATGTCACCCTTTCAAATATTAATACCAAAGCTTCCACATCCTGGTCATCGGTATCACTCAAAGAGACACTAAAGAACAAAACGATTTTTTGCGTAATAGTGAAGTATAATTTCACAATTCCGAAAAATCCACTCTTACCGTGGCACAACATTTGGTAAGTAAGAAAACACGCGAAAAGAAAATGTGGGTGGAGACTCCACCTTGAGATTCCCACCCCAAACATCGTGATGCCATAAATCTTAAAGACGTCTACTCGGTCCTACGTTGTTTCGAACCTGTAAAAATGAAGTATATTGTCATCTGAGGGTGCCATAAACCTAATATACCAAGTTTAAAAAAATGTCATTTTGTCCATGCCGTGAAAAAGCGAAAAATACGCTTTGAAATTTCTGACTCCACGTGCAAAGATTTTGGGATCGAAATTTAAAAATAAAACTTCTACCTTGATTTTCTCCGCTAATAATGAACTTATGATAGTGATATATAATTGATTGATATGTGGGGTTTAACGTCCCAAAACCATTATATGATTATGAGACGCCGTAGTGGAGGGCTCTGGAAATTTAGACCACCTGGGGTTCTTTAACGTGCACCCAAATCTGAGCACACGGGCCTAAAACATTTCCGCCTCCATCAGAAATGCAGCCGCCACAGCCGGGATTCGAACCCGCGCCCTGCGGGTCAGCAGCCGAGTACCTTAGCCACTAAACCACCGCGGCGGGGCATGATAGTGATATATATCGCATTAAGTTCTCAGTGCAGTTTGTCAATGTAAACCAAGTCATTGTTTCTCCTTAGTGCCCCTTTAAGATGATGGGATTACACTGGCACGGCTCACTGGATTGATTAAAACCTGAACGACATTCCATACGACCGCGGCGGATTGTGGTGGTCAAAGAGAGAGAGGTCCTCCTCTCTCTCTTTGACCACCACAATCCGCCGCGGTCAGCGGATCGATGGGCAAGCAGCATTGTTTCTTCATCTTATATTTTATCAGGTCAATCGCATCTCGCGAGTGTCCTCACCTAACGAGTATATAACTTACACCGTGGTTTAGGGTTAGGGCCTGCACGCTTAGTTAAGTTTGATTGATGATGCAAAGTGCTGGTGGCCAATATGGCCTTCATTTCTTGCAGAAATCAGCACCAAAAAGAATATTTTAAGGCTGGTCGGGCATTTTGGCACAGCACGGCGCAATTTCAGCAAATTTCATGGTTCTCGCACAGCTTGGCACAACAATTGGGGCATTGTATTGAGTTGGCACAATTGGGGCGGCTGTTGCACCCCTGGATAAGACAAAACCCTAGCAACAAGAAATAGACTAAAATGGAGCGTGAAGCAATACAAACACTTATAATGCTCAGATGAAAGGGATACTAAAGAGCAAAACAATTTTTCATTTTATTAGTAAAGTACAATTTCACAATCGCAAAAATACCAGTGACTCTTACGATACGACGCTTAGTAAGCGAGGAAACGCGCGAAAAGAAAATGTGGGTGACGACGTCCCCTTGAGATTCCCGCACCAAACACTGCGACGTAATAAATTTTGAAGGCGTCTACTGGGCCCTACGTAGCTTCCCATCGATAAAAATAAAGTAGATTGTAATCTGTGGGTGCCATAAACTTAGCATACGAATTTTGAAAAAACTCATGGAGCCAATGCCATGAAAATATAAAAAATGCATTTTGAAATTTCTTACATCAGGCACGAAGACTTCGGCGCGAAACTTCAAAAATGAAGCTTTAACCTTGATTTCCCCTGCTAATAACAAACTTATGATTGTGAAACACATGACATTCGGGTTCTAAGTGTGCAGTTCATCAATCTAAACCTAGTTGCTGTTCTTCTTTAGTGTCCCTTTAAAGTAGCATTGAAATGAAACACCCAAGGCATCTATTCAAGCTGGTGTCAGAACTTCATAGATGCCCGCCTATCTTTCTTTTGTGCTTATTTCCTGGATTACCAAGCCCTTTCTCACAGTAATCGTGTTTTTATTGGTGCTGTATAAGTAGAATTTACTAATGCACCTCAACACAACCTTAGTTTGTCGAAATTTTCATCAAGTTTTAATCAGTCTTCATAAGATCCTAAGCAAAACTTGCGATTCTGTGCTCCTCTAAAAGTAAGAAAAAAAGAAAAAGAAAAAAAAAGGTCAAGTAACAATTTTGGAAATGGAAAGAAAATGTTCATTTCCATGGCACAACAAGAATGTGGGCAATGAATCAATTTCCTGGAGATGCTCACTTCCTATGAACGTTTAATAGAAATATATAGAGCACTGGTTGGCCCTTTTGACTGAAATCGAATTAAAGTTGAATTCAGTCAACTGTATCTTTTCATTCATGATGAACTGTAATTTTTCCGTATGTATGAATTCCCAAACTTTTCACAGTGATGCAAGTGGAATACATTGGATGCGACCTATCTTATGTTCCACCACAAATGATTATTTGATCATCACATGATGTGCATTTTATTTAAACAAGCATAGCTATCCATCTGTTTAGTAGAAGATTTTGTTTGGAGAATTAACTTTGTCACTGTTTTCTGACAAAGTTAATTATTTTGTCACCGTTTGGCCCAGCTACAACAATTTCCAGATGTAGGTTTCTGAATTAAATGTAAAACTTGTGTATCTGAAATATTCATTTTAGAACCTTGATATGTCAGTGAAATTCACTCAATACTTACTTTTGTTTTTTCCCACTTGTCTTCGACATCCTGCAGCCATGACAAGAAGAGACGTCCATTATATCTAGATCGCACGTTTTTGTCCTTATCATCCTAAAACGATAACGAAACATTTTCTCAATTCCTCATTGCATATATATAGATATATATATATATATAAATATATATATATATAAGTTGAAGAAAAAACATTGAAGACATCACAGCCTAACACTTGCCTTCTTGTCAGGGATGGATTCCGGAGTTTTGACACAAATCTGTAAAGAAAAAGAAAATGTGATATTGAACTGTAAGCGAAGAAAACTTAGGTGAGACTCCAATAACAATCCTGCTGCAGAGGTCATTGGAGAAACAAGGTGGAAAAATGAATAATAATATGTGGAGTTTAACGTCCCAAAACCACCATATGATTATGAAAAACTCTGTAGTAGAGGGCTCCGGAAGTTTAGACCACCTGGGGTTCTTAAACCCCCTTGACCTATGCTCATTTTTTTTTTTTGAAAATTTCCACTCAAAAAGTGCTTTCATTGCTGATTTTGAATCTAATTGTACTAAAATGTAGCTAGTCAATGCTGAAAAAAATATTTTGAGCACATGCTTAGTCAAATCGATGGAATAAAGTTAATTACTGAACAATACACAGGAAACCACCTAGCTGCTGCTAATAAAATTTGAGAACCTTATAAGCCAAACAGTTACAGATGCCACATATTTTTTCCCTTCTGTAGGCTAAGCACCCCTGGGATATTTAATGCATAGGAAACCAGCTACCTGCTTCTAATAAAACTAAAAACCTTATAAACAAAACAGTTAACTGCCAGGCCTTTCTTCACTTGTATATGCTAAGCAGCCTTGAGGTATTTCACTCGGGGAGCTTTGGGGCTGCGTGGAAAATTTCACAATGCGGAATAACGCAAAACAGCTTCACTGGCAGGCACTCACAATGTTCTCATTTAAGCTGTCTTCATCGTCACTGGAGGAGTTATTTATTCACCGTCATCGCTGTGTCCACTTCCGGGCACGAGACATATATATCTGTACTTGAATCATCATCACTCAATGATTATAAAAAGGGATAGCATTTTTATCGCGTTCACGGGCCAGCTATACGTGGGTTGCCGCCACCGCACACACTCTTTTCAAGCGAAAACCATGTGCTTCTACACCTGAACGCTAGAGGGGAGTACCTATTCCGCTAGGACTAGTTCTATTCGTCCAAAGCAATTTGGTGACAGTTTGGGCAGGCCAAGCTCTGCTCAATCAATGCAGTTTAGGGGTTCATGTGCACCCAAATCTGAGCACACGGGCCTACACCAATTTCTTGTCCAAAGGTGAAGAAATTCCCATGTTGCCTACATGTAACAGATGTCAGCAATGTTCACAACAGTATAAATACTTCTGTTTGCAAACTGTTGGTCACATAAAATTTAAACTTTGGCGGCATAAAATGTGCAGATGTGTTTATTGGTTGGAACATTCCTTCACAATGTATAAAGAGTTCTTTTTTTTTTTTTTTTCAAGACGACACAGATATTTTATAAAGATCCTGAGACAGTAAGGCTCCAGTCATTTTCTCACACAAACTCCACGTCAAGGTGGAAATACTTTGCCACAGCTAAAATGACATTGTTGCGACTACTTATCAAACATTCATTAATTAAATTTTAATTAATAGCTTGATGGCAGGTGTTTGCATTACAATGTTATGGTGTGTTCCAATTTAAGGTACAACTATTTTTCAGAAATCAGAAAATTGCATCGAGTTCAAGATATTCAGTCATCAAATTTCATAAAAAAATGAAAACTTATCACGCAAGGCATGCACTAAGTGGAATTGTTCTGCGCTGTCAGACCTACCTGTCACATGGGAGGGACCAAATTTGAATGAAGGAGCACTGCAGCCACACCTTTTCATGAGAAGTTGTGTGTTACTTTGTTAGGTTCTTATCTGTTCGTTTCAAGACCTGCCCCAAAAAACCGCAATATCAACCTTTTCTTTGTGTGGGAAGCATAAACCTCTGGGGCAGCCACTTTGGTGCTTCTTGCAGACGGGCGAAATTATTTCTAGCGCTTCTTTACAGAAACTGATAACATTAATCTGTCTAGTGTACTAGTGTATTTCAGCATGCTTGCCGATTTTCTGTCCAGATTCTGCTTTGGTGCCTTCATTCAAATTTCTTCACTTCTCTGTCCCTTATTCCAGTGTTTTGTCACACTTCGTGTACACTTGGCATGATCGGTTTGAATTTAGCCCTGAAATTTCAATGACTAATACCTCAATCTATGTGCAACTTTTGTGATTCCTAAAAAAAATAGGTGTGACATCAATTCGCATGCCCTAAAACTCTGCAATACAAACACCAACCTACAGGTAATTAAAAGAGGTTAATTAATGTTTTAGTGTTAATTTGTAGCAGGAACATCAGTTTAGCTGCTGGAAAGTATTTCCAACTTGATATAGAGTTCATGTGCAAAAACGACAGGAGCCTGACTGTAATAAAACTTTTAGAAAAAATCTGTGTCTAAACAAACAAACGAACAAAAAGCACCCTGTACAATAATATTCTAGGTAAAGTGGTCTGTACAATAAGAACATGAGATATATAAAATTATTTGTGATATCAGACAGGTGAAGCATGGCCTTACAAGTTCCATGAAAAAGTATGGTGCTTTATATCTATAACAAAGTTTCAACCATCATTCTCAATGCAGAAGACATTATAGTTGCAACCCATAATGATTTATTTGTTTACAAAGCATACGACAATACAGCTGTACAATGCATTATTAGATACTAAAAGCAGGTTTAACTGGCTGCTGCACTGTGTTAAAGGGGCACTGGCACAAAAGTTTTGGCCTCGCATTTCATTGCTGCAATGCATTGCTATGGGCCTGTTAGTCATAACATGGCACATCGTTTGCTTCCATGTGCAACAAATAATTAATTATGCACTCTTCATATATTTCCAGTCTCAGTTTTGGTTTGAGAGAAATCCAAAAACAACTAGCTGCTGAGTGCAACTATCACCACTCAGAGTGTGCAGCGCTCGACCACATCAGAACACAAAACTGTGACACATTTCCGCATGGTACGCATCAAGAAGTCCGTTCAAACAGGAAATGGGACAACAGTGTCACCAAACACAAAACTTTCAACGCGTGTGCCACAGCAAGCTGCCCATAGCAGTCTGCTGGAGCAATCATGGCAATTAAAAAGTCACCATAACTTATTGTATTAACTGCAGAGTAATGATGAAGAAAGTAAGGGGGTCACTGTGGGTCACTTTTGAAGAGTCGTTGCTTGCTCATGCATGCAAACTTTATATTTCATTTAAAGTTCCTTCTAAGCTACGTTCACTGTTAATATTTCGCACGCAATACAACCATCTTTACACGAATCGATCAAGCAGGCTATCTTGGCCGCGAAACTTTGTGTCAGTACCCCTTTAGGAATGCAGACAAAATGTCTAGAAGACCAAGGGCCCGATTCTCAATGGGTCCACTTAGTGGAATGTCAATTTCAGCCTCCACTGATTGGCTGGAGCTCGATGAGCAGCGTACCCTGTTTTCGGTCATTCTCATGTAACATCATTTTAACGTCACTAAGCTTTCACAACTCTTGACACAAATGAAAGGGACAGAATGCATTTCACCACAGCAATTTCTGCCCCAAGAGATTCGCTTTTGAATGCACATCTCGGAGGCTGTACACAAACGAATTATTCTAGCCTTTAAATTAGGTTTAATGTGGCTGTCCGCCTGTGTGTACCTGGAAGGTCGGTATGTATTCCCTGCATCGTTCTCCAACTATGTCGACATGATCATACGCGAATTGAGGCGGATAAAGTTTGTCCAAGAGTCCTGTAACTGTACATTTCAGCCACTTTCTTTCTCTTCACGCTGAAATGTGCAAGCGAGTTCGGTGCGTCTACATGGTCAAGAGCGCCATGACGTCACAGCTCACAGCTTTTTCGACTCACTGAATGCGCTCCACCAATGTAGACATGTCTGCTCGGTGGAAATGAAGAATAGCTCCCCAACAGTCTCACCCGTACATATAGAGCTTGCAAAATTAATAAATTAATTAAAGCAACTAGTTTGATATATCATATAATAATAAAGTATATATATAACAAGTCTATTACACCAATACGCTGTCCTTTCTTATGAATATGTAAATCATACAAATAAATTTTTATCAGAATAAAGTTTATTTTATTAGTATGAATTGCCACCCTGCCAGACAGATTTCTGTCGAATATGTTCATACTTAAATACATAAATCTTGTACTTATTTTGCATAGAAGCAGTTAAAAGCCACAATTTTCATCATCCTGCGAGTTCTTTCTTAATGAAACCACAGTGTTTAACAGATTGGAAAATTGTGCTCCACAAACCTGCTTTAATATTTACCGTGGGAGCCACAATCACCATGATCCCTATGCTTATGTGACGATACTTCTTTCGTATGTAAAATGGCCAGCAACTGATAATTCCCCCATCACAATGTAGCAAAAAACTTTTATGCCGATGTGCCGACAGCGTCTGAAAGTTCTTCATCTTCAATATATTCCTGCATGTTGCGAGTTTTGTGACAGTGCATGTGCACTGCATCAATTTAAATAAAGCTGCTGAATGCCGGTTTTGCATTGAGGCAGAACTATGGTCACTAATAGCATAATTACACAGACACGCTAACCTCGGTTACGGCAAAACTCAGTTCCCTTAAACCGTAGTTACATGCAGTTAGACAGAATGCCTAACTGCAGTTACTACACTAACCGCGATTCCTCTACACTGAGGTTCACCACCTCAGTTAAAGGTACCTTTAACCGGTTTCGATGATTTTGTACAAACACATTGGGCCGATAGACCAAGTTCTAGACAACGCTTTAGAGCTCCGAATCACTGCACATCGCCGTGACTCGGCCAAACGTGCTTTCAACCGCCTATTCACAAAGCGAAATGCTCTGGTAACACGACGTCACCGTGGCCGCTGATCTGATTGGCTGTGCAATGCACGGAAGTAAGATGAGCTGGTAGGGTGACAGCACCTGCCAGAGCAGATACGGACCACTCCGCAATAGTCATCACTTCGTGTCCTCGCACTTCGAGAAAAATTTCCCAAACATCAATCTTGCATGATCACAAATGCTTAGTGGCAAGTTGTCTTCCACAACGAATCCCATGAATAGGCATTCTGCCCGGCCACACTTATCTTCGCAGTGCTTTTGGAAGGAACTTCGATGTTGCCCTG